CCCTCTACACACATACACACACACACACACACACACACACACACATATATATATATATATATATATATATATATATATATATATAAGTTGTCATTAAAAAAGAAATAAATGTTCAAAGATTAATATTATGTGATTTTCTAGAATTTTTTTTTCCTATTCTATCTCTCATTTTCAAGACAGACCCAGCCAGAAAATTATAGACCGTTCTTATTTTTGAAATACTTATTTTCCCCATTGCAATATCTCACAATGCAATTAATGTAAGGTATATTGCTTCATATATATATATATATTAAATAGCTCTGTTAATTTACATTCAGCACTCTTTTTATTTACACTATAGAGTATTTATATATTTTTGTATACAATTGCTTGCTTGTATACCTACATATATTACCCATTTGGTGATATATATATATATATATATATATATATATATATATATATATATATGTATATAAATAAAAAGAAAGAACAGTAAGATATATAATCCGGTGTTCTTATAGATATTTTTATTTTTACAAAACAGTGCTCGATATAAATTTACAGAGCATTAATATTATAAATTAATTGATTAAAAATATGTTTTTTTCTGCTACACAGTTCTAACCATGTTTCAAAAATGGAAGCTAAAAACCATGAATTTAATTTTGCAATTAAATTAAAGACATTAGTTCCATTTCATCCTCAAGCAAATTTTGGAGTAACTTTTAAAATTACTGGGTTTTAAAGACACAGCTAAAATCACGTTTCCATGGTTATACATAAATCTACTTCAACTGGACAAGGGGTGTCTGGATTTTCCTTATGTCTGCATCATTCTATTGGTTATTAGCTACATTTTGGTAAGGGGTAGGGATGTATTTTTCAATGAAAACTGACATCCATTGAATGCATGTCGTCTGGATTTTTTGAAAATTTATTGGTAATGGCAAAAAAATTCTTATGGCATTTTTTTCTATTTGTAAATTTAAAGATTTTCGCAGTTGTTCTGATTAGAATACTTTTTATTTAACTACAATTTGAATACAAATGACATTGGTTTGTACAGAGACGATGGACTTATGATTATTAGAAACTCAACTAACTTCAAAATAGATAAAATTAGAAAGTTATTATATAAAGAATTTAAAAGCATGGGCTTAAAAATTACGGTTAGTACTAAATTAAAAAAAGTGGACTTCCTAGATATAACATTAGATCTAAATAAAAATACATACACACCTTACACAAAACCCAACACCAATCCTTTATATATACACCCTAAATCAAATCACCCCCCCACCATCTATAATTAAACATATATCATTATCTATCAGTAAACGAATTAGTACAAATTCAGCAAATGACAAGATTTTCGATGAGCATATCAATTACTATAATAAGGCTCTAAAAGAAAGTGGCTACAAAACCCCAAAACTAACTTATATAAAAAATGAAAATGGAAAGCATAGAAAAAACAGATGTAGAAAAATTATTTGGTATACTCCCCCATACAACCAAATGGTAAAGAACAAATTTGGACATAAATTCCTCGCATTAATAGTCAAGCATTTTCCTAGTGAAAGTAAACTAAGTACTATTTTCAATAAAAACACACTAAAATTGAGTTATAGCTGTACAGAAAACTTAGAAAAAATCATTAAGAACCATAATGCTAATATCTTAAATAAACACTTATACCAAAACCAAAAAAATTTAGACAATGGAAAAATAAAGATAAAAACTGATGGAAATAAACAAAAACTATGTAACTGTAGAAACCCTCATAATTGCCCTCTACAAAATAAATGTCGCACTGAATCATTAGTATACCAATGCAATATCTTTTCGATTGAAAGTCCTGAAAATATAAAAATATATATAGGTTGCACTAGCCATGAATTCAAAAAAAGTTTCAACCAACATCAAACTTCATTTAGAATAAATAAATATAAAAATCAGACATCTCTCTCAAAATACTTCTGGCATCTAAAAGAATCAAATAAAACACCTACAGTAAAATGGAAGTTAATAAGAAAAGCTAGAATATGTAGGTCATTAAACGACCCATGTCCTTTGTGCATACACGGGAAACTATATATTACTAAGTTTATAAAAAATAAAAATTTACTGAATCAGAGAAATGAAATAGCTATTATATGCCGTCATTGTCAAAAATTTTCCTTAAATAATATTTAAAAATTTAATAAAAGAAAAAAAGTCTATTGGAACAACAGTGAAAATATTTTAAATTTGTATTTAAAATTGTAGTTAAAACGAATTCTAACCTAAGCATCTTTTAAAAATTGCAGTTAAATAAAATGTATTATAACCTAAACACCTCTAAAAAAAGTACTACCAGCACTTAAATGAATCCAATAAAACACCTACTAAAAAATGAAATTATAATGAAAAGCTAGATGATGTAGGGCAGTGAATGACCTATGTCCTTTGTACATACATATGAAACTTTATTACTAAGTTTATATATATTTAAAATAAATAAATTAATTAATTATTAAAATCAGTTTACTAAATCTGAGAAATGAATTGGCTATTTTTGCAGTAAGTGCCATAAATATTACTTAAATAATATGTAAATATAAAAGTTTAAAAATCGTAATATACATATACTTTGATATGGAAAAATAATTTTACTTACTATAAGTAATTTGAAATATATTTCCTTCTGTTATAAAGTATTATAGTCTATTAAAACTAACAATGAAAATATTTTAAAGTTGTAATTAAAATTGTAGTTAAATAAAATGATTTCTAACCTAAACTTCTTTTACTTAGTACTACACGCACTTAAAAGAATCCAATAAAACACCTATAGTAAAATAAAATTAATATGAAATGCCAGAAGATGTAAGCTTTTGAATGACCCATATCCTTTGTACTTACATGAGAAACAATATATTACTAGGTTTATATATATAAAAAAATAAAAGTTTACTAAATCAGTGAAATTAAGTAACTATTTTTGATGTCATTGTCATAAATTTTACTTAAATAATATAAAAAAAAAATGAATTAAAATAAAATAAAAAATGTAACCTAATATACATACTTATACTTGATGTAAAAATAATCCTACATATGATAAGGGATTCTAATACATTTAACTGTTCTTAAAAAAAAATAAAAAATGAAAATATTTCAAATTGTAGTTAAATAAAAAGTATTCTAATCTGAACACCTGCGAAAATCTTTAAATTTACAAATGGACAAAAATGCCATAAGAATTTTTTTGCCGTTAACAATAAATTTAAAAAAAATCCAGACGACATGCATTCAACGGATGTCAGTTTTCATTGAAAAATACATCCCTACCCCTTACCAAAATGTAGCTAATAACCGATAGAATGATGCAGACATAAGGAAAATCCAGACACCCCTTGTCCAGTTGAAGTAGATTTATGTATAACCATGGAAACGTGATTTTAGCCGTGTCTTTAAAACCCAGTAATTTTAAAAGTTACTCCAAAATTCGTTTGAGGATGAAATGGAACTAATGTCTTTAATTTAAATGCAAAATTAAATTCATGGCTTTTAGCTTCCATTTTGTAAACATGGCTAGAACTGTGTAGCGGAAAAAAACATATTTTTAATCAATTAATTCATAATATATATATATATATATATATATATATATATATATATATATGCATGTATGTATCCATGTATATATATATATATATATATATATATATATATATATATATATATATGTGAGTCCAACAATGATGGGACACTTTTTAAATGCAAGTATCTTGATGTGTACCAGTCTTATGGGCCACCCTGTATGCATACATACACATATATATATATATATAATTATTTATTAAAAATTATAACATAAGTATGTTATAAAATCACTACAAAAATATTATTTTGTTTCAACACCTCTGGTGTCTTATCAAGATGATGATGTTGGATGTAAAATCAATAACCATTTATTTTACATCCAACATCATCACTTGATAAGACACCAGAGGTGTTGAAACAAAAATGGCTATTTTTGTATGATTTTTATAACATATTTATGTTATAATTTTAAATAAATAATTATATCTGCTCTACTCTGTATTGAGCACTCTTTTAAGAATAGTAATTGTTGGTTATTGGAATTCATTCCATACACACCAATCATATACTTGTATATATATATATATATATATATATATATATATATATATATATATATATATATACATATGAAAAATTTATTGTTTTCAGGTATGCTACATTTATCATCACAGATAGAGTGCATGCAAATATAAAAGTGAACATTGAGACATACACACACATGCACACACATATATATACATACATACATATATATATATATATATATATATATATATATATATATATATATATATATATATATATATATAGTTAAACCTAGAGAACCAGATAAACTTACCAAGGTTTCACCTAACCAAATTGTCAAGAAAGAGCCTTCCCTGATGATCCGCTTAGGTGAAACATTGGTAGGTTTGTCTGGCTCTCTAGGTTTAACTAGGTCTGCTCTACTTATTGTATTGAGCACTTTATTTAGCTGTTTTGGGTACTTGCATCAGGGTTTTTTTCTTTAGGCCTTGAAATCGTATGCTGGACAATTATTTTGGGTTAAAGTACATGTTCTTGGTTCTTTCTTTTTTTATACCTTTTTTTTGCTTTGGTATTGGCTTGGTTATTTGCAAATCAATACACTGAAGGTTTTCCGAGTAAGTATAGTTTTTTATATTTATAAGATTTCTATGTTATATATATATATTTACACATACTCACACACATACATGCACATATATGCATATACATACACACACATATATGCACACACACATATGTATATAAACACAAACATAAATGCACACACATATATATATATATATATATATACACACACAGATACATGTACATATATATCTCTCTCTCTATATATATATATATAAACAAACACATAAACACAAATATATATACAAATATATGTAAATGAAAAATTTAACACAGTTATGAGGAATAGAAAATAAAATAGACAGGAAAAAAGATAGAAAGAGAGGCAAATAGAAAGGAATAGACTGATAAATTGAGAATGATGTATAGAAAGAAAAATAGAGGGAAATAGAAAGAGGAGGAATAGATTGAGACATAGAGGAGGAGAAGAAGAGAGAGAAGGAAACAGAAAGAGGAGGAATAGATTGAGACATAGAGAAGGAGAAGAAGAGAGAGAGGGAAATAGAAAGAGGAGGAATAGATTGAGACATAGAGAAGGAGAAGAAGAGAGAGAGGGAAATAGAAAGAGGAGGAATAGAATGAGACATAGAGAAGGAGAAGAAGAGAGAGAAGGAAACAGAAAGAGGAGGAATAGATTGAGACATTGAGAAGGAGAAGAAGAGAGAGAAGGAAATAGAAAGAGGAGGAATAGATTGAGACATAGAGGAGGAGAAGAAGAGAGAGAGGGAAATAGAAAGAGGAGGAATAAAATGAGACATAGAGGAGGAGAAGAAGAGAGAGAGGGAAATAGAAAGAGGAGGGATAAAATGTGACATAGAGAAGGAGAAGAAGAGAGAGAGGGAAAAATTTTGCAAGTTTTGTAAAAGTTGCCAATGAGTATAATTCATCAACAACATTAAAAAAGAATGAACAGTACACCAAACACATATTCATATATGTTTGAAGACATATATTAAGTGGTTGTATATGTTGAAATAAAAACGTGTCAAAAATGTAAGGTGTGTAAATGTATCTTGTATTTGTGTACATGTAAAACTGACATCAATTCATCAAATACTAAAGCTTAGTTGACATCTTTGAATCAGCAAAACATGAACGCAGCTGATATTGTTTCGATCTGTTTCACTTCACATGTATTTCATTTATACCCACCCCTATCTACTTTTTTTTCTTTCCTTTTTTATATTTTTATGCAGGAACATGTCATATTGTTTATTTCAAATGTTTATTTATTTACATGTATTTGTTCTCTAATTAAAAAACACTCAAAAGAAATCAACCAAAATAACAAAACCATCAACTACACTTTCTAAGAGTTATTCAATTAAATATGAAGTATGTCTATTGAAGTAACTTTCATCCTATAGTTTTTTTCATGCTGTCAGTGCAACTTAGAATATATGGGCTGCATTCCCTGCAAAGGAGTCAACACATTCCAAAAAGATCACCTAAAGGGAATATGCTTGCGTACTCAAGTATAAATGTGACCAATATTTACCTATAGTCACAAGTATAAACATGACTACAGTTTACCTATAGTCTCAAGTATAAATATGACTACTGTTTGTCTATAGTCTCAAGTATAAACATGACTGCTGTTTACCTATAGTCTCAAGTATAAACATGACTGCTCTTTACCTATAGACTCAAGTATAAACATGACTGCTCTTTACCTATTGACTCAAGTATAAACATGACTGCTGTTTTCCTATAGTCTCAAGTATAAACATGACTCCTGTTTACCTATTGACTCAGGTATAAATATGACTGTTGTTTACCTATTGACTCAGGTGTTTATACCTGAGTCAATAGGTAAACAACAGTCATTGTTTACATACAGATTCAAATATAATCACAACTAATTTGTGACACTATTTGTTGGTCACTGTCTACAGAGAGTCCTTCTCTTCCCCACATTGTCATTATTTAAGTATGAAGAAACAACTGGACACTTCCGAATCACAGAGTGAGAATCTGGGTTGATATCACCCAGTCATGCCAAAATGACTGACTTGACTCACTTGGTAACAATTAAGAAGGATTTTAATTTTTTCATGAGAAATGCTAGTTTATTGCTGCTGCAAATCTGAAATTCTACTTCAGAGTCAGGAGAGAAGTAGGTTTTTACAGCTGATTTTCCTTTAGATTAAACAAGCTAACAGTTTGTATTACAGGTATGGATGGGCTTAGGTAATTTCTTTTAGCACCAACCATCAAGATTTGGCTTATGGGATTTTTTGACACATCTTTGTAGCAATTGACGACAGCCTCATAACTACCTGCAACTGACTTCACTGTCACTGTACACCTGAATATATGGAGAATTAACTCCATTTTAAAGTAATTTAGTTGCTTCATCTAATCCCATGATCCATAAAGTAGTAATTTCTTTTTACATTATTACAGACCAGATGAGTTAAAGTCAGCAGATGACAAGAAAATGGGAAGACGCATTTCTTTCTTTTTTTTAACAGCATTATATCAGGGAATATTTGCGCGCGCGCGCACACGCACGCACACACACACACACACACACACACACACACACACACACACAGAGAATACCAGATAGATTTGTCATTCTGGTTTAATCTAAAGTCATCTTCCTCAACCGCTCACATAGCAATAAAAAAAAGCAAAGCACTTCTGGGTTTCTTTTTGCACATGTTTCTCTCACTGTCCATTTACGACAATCCAATTTCATAATCTTTCCTTTCACTTTCACTTTCTATATGAATAAAATGATTTTTATTTGATTCACATTTTTTTTATAATGATACAAGGCTGGAGAGCCTCTCAATGCGGCGGGTTATGTAAGAGGCAGAGTTTATGTGGATAGGTGGGAAATATAACAGTTAACCCTAGACCTGAACAGGTTAAGATTGTAGCAATTAGGAAAGTATCCTCTTGGGAGTCATTTCCATAAAGCAGTGGTTTGTGGAAAGAAGCTGCTTGAGTAGAACTTACATCTGACCAGTGAAATACAAAGGGAATGATGGTGGTTTGTTACAATATGCGTGGGATGGCAGGTGTTAGCCATAAAGGTTAGAACTGGTAGAAATAAAGAATGTAGTTGAAATGAATACTTTCCATAGAAATATTGATAGAGTATTGATAGACTTGTGACATTTTGTCTATGAGGAAAGGGGTTGTAGGATAGAAAATAATTCATCACCCATAAAATGTGGTGATGCTTTTGAAGTTGATTCCAACTAGAAAGTCAAGACTGATTAGCTCCTCTCCATATAAGGCAGCAGTACTCCCTTTTCAGTCTGAACTTTTTTTTTATGTGCCATGTCCTTACAGGATGTAGGTGATCATGGCTCTCCATCTCTCTCTATCCCTTGCAGCTCTCAACAAGTTCCTTCCCCTCTGATTCCTCCACCAGACCACATTCTGTCATCCACTGGCTCAAGCCCACTAGGAAGGTGACACCCTGCTTTCCCTTGTCTCTCTTTTCCTCTATTTGACCCGTGAGTATCAGATTATCCAGGCCCTCTTTCCTCATTATGTATCCCAGAAACTTCAGCTGCCTCTTCCTGATGTTCAGTATAAGCTTTTTCCTTGTTTGTAACCTCTCTAAGGCCTCCTTGTTGCTCACATGCTCGGCCCATGATATCCTCAGCATCCTTCTGTAGAACCACATCATCTCTTCGAGTCTCTTCCTCATCCTTGAAGAAATCGTCCAACATTTGCTGTCATAAAGAAGAACAGATGTCACGGAACAGCTCAGTATTCTTTTCTTTGTTAACAAAGAAATCCTCCTGTCTCGCAGTACTCTGCTCAGCAACTGGAATGTGTCCTTGGCCATCCCAATACGGTGTCACATCTGGCTCATGTAAAGGGAGAGGATAGTAGGAGGAGTGGAGAGATACAGGTAAGTGGCCATTTTTTCTTTAATTATTTCACCTCAAGCAAAGCGATAATGCCATTAAGATGTGGGGGTGGGGGAATATTACAGGGAGAGTGAAAAGAGAATGAGAAGACTGAGGATGAGGGTGGATTGAGGAAAAGACAAAAATGGAATGGGATTCAAAAAGAGAGAAGATGGCGATTGACATTGTGTTTAAATTTTTAGAGATTACACTTATCAGGGAAGAAAGAAATCAAAATGGACTTCCACAGGCGAGCAGAGTGAGAAAAGAAACTGTTAGAGTAAAAGTGGTGATTACAGCAAGCTAGTTCAATATTTAAAATAGTTAAAATGGTGAAATGTAATTTCTAATTTAGTAGCATGCTTAAATTTATGTAGTCGGATTGGCAGAGTAAAAAGCTCATAAGAAAAGTTGCTATGAAAGTATTTGTAGAAAAGATAGACTTATTTTCATTTCAGAACTTATATGCGTGGGTGGTTTAATGCATAACAACTCGGAATGAGTAATTGGAGATCTGAGTTCAAATTCCTGCTTGGTTTGTTACTTTCATTTATGCACAAATACCCTTGGGAAAAGTATGAATCCATCTCTTCTGCCCCAGCTATGAGTAGAATTGCAGGACAGACTGGGTCCTACAATCTTGGCTGTCAACCAGTCTACCACAGAAAGAAATGGCTGCCTACTGCAGGAAAATCTTCTGCCTAGTCAGTCATGAATTGAAAGAGATATGATTGCCCAAGCATGTATCACTTAGGGCACTTCACTGACTGACTGACTGTAATGAATCCTTTGCTGCAACTAAAACCCTACAAACTCAAGTATAAACATCACCAATGGGTCTTTTTTTAACTGTAGGGTTCACTCTGTACACGGCCTTGAAGTAGAGGGTTATGTTAAGGGGTAGTTTATATGGATAGGAGGGGAAAATAATGATTAACTCTAGGCTCGAACAGGTTAAGATTGTAGTGATCAGGAAACATCCTCTTGGGAGTCAGTTCAAGTGAAACTTCTCAGTGATGGAGGACAGAGAATGTTGGTGGTTTGCTACAATGTAAGTGACATGGTGGATCCTAGCCATGAAGGTTAGAATTGGGGAAACCAAGGAATGTAGTTCATCCATGCACTTTCCCTGGAATTAGTGATAGAACTATAAGAGGTTCTTGCTTATAAACTAAAGCATAACAGTGACTAATATTTACCTATATAATCAAGTATAATAAAAAAAAATATATTTGACATTAAGAATGCCATCAAGGATTAATATGTTGTAAAATCCTTCAAAACCATATCTTTTTTTATGTTTTAAAATTCTCTAATAGATGAGGTGGTGAAGCAAATCTATTTTAATGAGTTTATATATATATATATATATATATTGCGAGTCCATGTGGTAAACACTTGCTAGGGTCACATTGTTTTTCACGGATACATCTGAGAAATCTTGATTCCTACATTTACTTTCATGGCACGTAGCTTTAAATCTTAGTTAAATCCATTATCAATATTTTGTTTTCTCTTATTTCAATATTGAAATAATTTTGTTTGTAATTTTTTCCTTAGATTGTAAATTTAAAATAATTTGCATTTAGGAAAAGTGTGGAGAAGGCAACAGCTGTGAATTTAATACAATCTGATCTTCTTTTTTAACAAGTTTGACAGCAGTTTCTCATTTATACAATGTGACATTTCTCTAAAACTCTCTCATTGCCAAAGTTGATAATAATGATGGGAGATTTTCAGAAAAGAGATTTTCAGTTCTACAAATTTTTATTAAAATTTATTTCTAGTTTGAACACAAGCGTTTAATAAGCAAAAGTCAGATGAAATATTTTGCTTGTGTTGAAATAATTTCAATGAAAAAATATTTCTTTCCAAAAATATATTCACTTTTCTTTTCTAGCCAATCTTAGGTTTTTAAACTTTATGAAATATGAATAAAAAAAAAATTTCATTTTTTTAAAATTTGATTTTACTATTTAAAAAAATATTCTGCTATTTTTTTCACAAAGTAG